TGCTGCTTCCTCGCAGTGTTTTTCAGCTGGACTCAGGCCTTTCCTTGCTCAGCATTGTGCGCACAAGCTCTTCTGCAATCGCTCTCGGTCAGATGCAGGCGGCTTCCTTGATCTTAATCAGGTCTGTGTCTTGCCTTGGCTCGCTGCCTCTCCTGTATGGCACATTGTGTTTAGACTTGTCACTGCTGCTATTGGACAATTCTTTGCTAGGCTCTTCTTTGCTTCTGCGAAAGCCGGCTTAGGCAGATCCGCCCACTGCTTTGCTGGGCTTGTCTCGGATTGGACTTGCTACTTTGGCTGTAGATTGCGCTTATGCAGAGCCGTTGCCGCTGCTGCACTCGCTGGCTCGTTTGGGCGTGGCTTCGTTGATTTGTGATGCAATGCAGGCTGAGGCATCTCCGATCTTGCGAAGCCTTTGTCAAACAGGGCCCTTTGTGGTGATGCCAGACTTTTTCCAAGCTGGCTTCTTCTTATTGTCGCGACAGTTGGCACAAGTGGATTTCTTCCCTTTTGTTCCGGATCCTGTGCACCTAGATTCGTCACTGCCTTTGCGTACCTCCGGGCACTTGGGCTTGACCGTGCTTGTGGCGCAACATGGGTGCGCAGGAACGTTGACGTTTTCACATGCGCTTCACTGTTTGGATGCTTCTTCAGTTCTGGCTGGCATCTCACGTTTGGAGTTTTTCCTGCCAGCAACAAACCTTGTTTTCCCTGGTGCAGCGCTGTCAGCACGAAGCCTTGCCAGAGTAGGTCTTCTCGCATCTCTGCCTGGGTTGTCTCATTTGGATATGCTGATGGCCCTCCAGAATTACGCTTGCTCAGGGCTTGTGATGTCCACAGTGCGCTCGGCCTGTATTGATTTGTGCGCATTTGTGCCAAGCTTCATTGGAATGGACTTCCTATTTCCCTTGAGGAGTTTCATTTGTTCAGGGCTCCCTGCTGCAGCGGTGGGGTTGGCACAAGCTGGAAGCCTGCTGACGCCTCGGAGCTTCGCTCAATTCGATGCGTCGTCTTCGGCATTGGGGCCTGGACAGCCAGACTTGGCGCTTCCAGCACCTGACTTCCTGCGTTCAGACGTTCCTTTGCTTCCCCATGGCCTCTCACGCTGCGACTCTCCGATGTTGGCCCTGCAATCCCACTGCTCAGATAGCTTGCCGTCTTCGAGAGCTTCCGCGTGTACTGGGCTATTGCCAGTTGTCAGTGGGCTGACTGGTTTGGAGCCCATCCTGACTTCGCCGGACCTCGGACACACTGGCCTACCTATGTTGGTTCAATCATTTGTGAGGTTGGGCTTCTTGTTGGCCTTGTTGCAAGGCATTCGGTTGGGCTCATCGACCCTTTTGCTTGACGTTGTTCAATTAGCACCTTCTCTGCCTTTGCAAGGTCTCAGCTGAATGGATGTGTTCGTGCTGCTTGCAGCATGTGCCAGATTGGGGGCTTCCCTTGTTGCCCCAGACTTCTCGCATCCCGAATTCTTGCTGCTCTTGAGGAGCTCTGCTCGTCCTGGTGTGTCCGCAGCAGCGCTGTCGCACTTTGACATCGGGCCACTTCTTCCCTCGCACAATTTCGGGCAGTTGGATTTGCTGTTGCTTGCTCCGGGTATCGCGTCTGCCGGCTCGGCAGCTGCAACCCTTGATTCTGCACTGGTTGAAGCGGCCCTTTCAGCCAGGAGTTGCGGTCGGTCAGGCTCCAGCTTGACTTTGGCTGGTGCAAGCTGTGTGGGTGCTTTCATGTTTTTGCCTGACTCTGGCTTTTTGGGTGTGTTGCTGGCTTTGCGCAGTGTCGGTTGTGCTGGGTTTGCGTTGCCTTTTTGCGGCAGGGGTTGCTTTGGCCTGTCGGCAGTTGCTGTGGACTCTTCACACCTTGGCATTCCATCGCCTCTTCACACTTTGGCCTACACTGGACTTGCACTTTCAGTCAATAACCTGCTGCAGCCCGATTCCCTGCCTCCAACTCCGGATTTCTCGCACTTGGGTCTTGCCCTGCTGGCGCGCAGTCACGCCCAATCAGCCTTTTCTTTCCCCATGTTCGGCACAGGGTGTTCTGGTGCGTTTGTGCTCCTTCTGGGCGTTGCTTGTTTTGGCTTGCTCATGCTGCCACAGGCACTTTCTTGCCTTGGCCTTGCGTCAGCAGCCCCTGGTTGTGGCCATCTGGCACTGTTGCTGTCCTCGCGTAGCCACTTGCACGTAGGCTTCCTGCTGTTTGCTTCAGGGCTCCGAGGCTGCTTTCTGTCTGCACCAGACCACCTTCACCTGGGCAGCTCTCTCTTGTCACGAGGCCTCGGTCAAATGGGGCCGTCTCTGCCAATATTAAGCCTCACCAACGCAGGGGCCTTGTTGTTCTTGCGTTCTTTCATGTGTGTTGGCCTTTTTGCGTCGGCTTCAGGCTTGCTGTGGTTGAGCCCGCCAACGCCACCTCTTGACAGCATTCAGCTCGGAGCGGCTTTTCTGTTGCGCAGCTTTGCTAGAGTGGATGCTTCCATGTTGGCCTTGCACGCTTCGCATCTGGAACTGGCCTTGCCTCTCCACACACCTGAGTGCCTCGGACTCTTGTTGCTGTTGTCTGGCCGGTGTTCTACTGATGCTTCACTTTTGGCCCTTGGCTTTGCGCAGGCAGGTCTAAGCTTCTCATCGCAAGCAATCAGCTGCTTAGGCCTTGTGCCAGCACCTCCTGGACATGCTTCAGTAGGCCTAGCACTCATTTTGATTGACGTGGCTTGCATCGAAGTCTCATTGCTGCCTCGCAATCCTGGATGTTTGGGCGTCATGGTGCTGCTTTATGGTGTCGGTCGGGCTGGCTTGCCAGCCGCAGTCTCGGACATGTCCTTCCTGGATGCCCCTCCTCCAACACAAACATTTGCGAGAGTGGGCCCTGCACTGTTTACTTGTGGGGCAAGTAGGGTTCTTGCGCTGTCCGCTTTGGACTTTGCTGAAGTTGACCCCTCCCTGCTGACCCAGAACTCTTTGTGCACAGAGCTGGCTGTTCTCGTGTGCAGATGCTCCCGCCTTGGACCACTGGTGCCTGTGCTAGATGCTGTTGGTTTGGGGCCAGTTTTATTCTTGCACAGTCCCCTGTACCTAGCCTTCAGTATGTCAGCAGTTGGCTGTGGCGGTGCAGGTTCGCCTTTGCCGTCGCACAAGCTTACAAGGTCAGAGGCCACGACTTCTGCAGTCGGGCCATCTTCGTTTGACTCCACGTTAATAGCACCTGATCTTTTGCACTTGGAATTCTTGCTGTCGCCTCAGGCATCCACCCAAACAGGTTTCGTGACGTTCACAGCTGGCAGAGCGCAATGCGGATTCTCCTTGCCAGTACCTTCCTACACTACCTGTGGCACTTCAGCGCCTTCACGCAACCTCATCAGACCCAACTTTTCCCTGGCAGTGCTTGGTATCGCAAGGTCGGCTTCCTTCATGCTTTTGTGCAGCTGGGCGCTGCTAGGCATGCCAGTGCCTTTGCACAGTTCCTCCCATCCAGGTGCAATGGCTCCAGCACCAGAGCATGCAGCGATAGACTTGCCAATTCCCCCGCGCAGCACGTCCTGTACTAGCTTTCTGCTGTCTTCATTGGCATCGGCTCGCCTGGGCCCATGCCTACTCGTTTGTGAGTATGCCACCTTGGATGCCTTGCTGTTGGTTCGGGCAGTGGCTTGCATCGAGTTCTTTTTGCCTTCCCTGCAGCTTGCCAACACAGGTCCCCCTTCGTCCCTGCAAGACACTTTCCGCACAAGTGCTGCACTCTCGGTTGCTGGCCTTACCCGCCCAGGCCTGGCCATATTTCCCCTCGACTGTGCTTTCACTGAAGCCCCGCCGCTGTCAAAGAGCTTGGCTTGGACTGACCTTTCAGCCTTGCCACCAAACTATGCAAGCTTTGGCTCGTCCTTGTCACTTAAAAGCTCTGCTTGCTCAAGCAGTGCAGCATCCGTGCTTGACATGCTGAACATTGCTTTTCCATTGCCGCTGCGATCCTTGGCTTGCTTGGACACCTTCCTGCTTCTAGTGGATTCTGTAGGTTTGGGCGCTGCATTGTTTACCAGAAGCCACGCTCAATGCGAATTCACGCCTTTTACAGCAGATTGTTGCCATGTGGATTCGCCCTTGTTGTTGCAAAGCCCCGCTCAAACTGATTTTGCTCTTCTGACTGTGGATTTTGGACATTTTGACGTGCCTGTGCCAGCGCGGCAGCTTGCCCACCCAGATTTGTTGCCTTCTCTACTGCGGAGGGTCAGTCTGGACTCGCCACTTGCGGCCTTGGATGTGTCTCAGTTTGAGGCATTTGCGCTTCTTCAGTCACTTGCTCAGCTTGGCTCCTCGGCTTCTCCCTTTGGCAAGGTCAGAGTAGGCAAGAGCTTATTTGCCGTGGATTTGGTAGTTATGGACTTGTCACCAATTCTGCGAATACCCTCCAGGCTTGGTTTGTCGCTGCTAGTTTGTGGCATGAGTTGCTTCGATACAGCACCTGCAGCATTGGACTCCTTGCATTCAGGCGCGGCGCCATCGGTTCAGAATAGTGCATGTCTGGGGCTGGCAGCTCTGTTGTCAAGCTTCGGGTGTTTTGAATTGCCACTTTCAACAAGAAGCCCCGTTCAACTTGGTGCGCCTCCGCCTCCCGTGGGGGTTGCGCAGATTAGGGGGGAGACGGCGATTCAGGATACGGTCCCTGTGAAGGGATCCATGCAAGTTGGCCTCCCGCCGCTTGCGTTTGGTTTGGTCCGTCTTGGCCTTTCAATTTTTGTGCTGGACTTGGCCTTTTTCGGCTTCGCGTTGCCACCCCGCAAGCTTGCACAGCTGGACTCAACTTCGGCGACCCTTGGCTGCTATAGGGGTGCATTGATATCTCCTCTTGATATTCTACATGCTGACTTGTCTTCACTGCCGCGGCAGCCCACTTGCTTGAGCAGCCTGCTGCCACTGATTGGTTGTGCTTGAGTCGGGCCACCTTTAGTGGCATTGGACTTTGCACAGTTCGGCATTACTTTGCCACTGCGCAGCTCTGCCTGCATGGGGCCAGCAGCCTTGATCTTGGCGAGGGTGTCTCTTGAAAGCTTGCTTTTAGCACTTGATTTTGTTCAGTTGGGAAGTTTGGCGCCCATGCGGAGTTCTAGCTGGGTCGACGTGTCTGTTTCTCTGTCAGGCTTTGGTGCTGCTGGCTCCGCCTTGGTTGTGCGAAACCTCGCGTGCATGGACGCTCCTACGGCTGCAGTAGGTATTTGCAGGTTGGGAGTCTTTTTGGTTCTCCTGGATGTTGGAATCTGTGGCAGCGTTTCATCTTTGAGGGCATTGGCGCAAGCGGAACCAATTCTGCTAGTTGGCGGCCTCGCAAGGTTTGGATTTCAGTTTCTCGTGCTGGATCACTTGCATCTAGGCAGCGCCCTGCTTCTGCAGAGTCTTTCTCAGCTCGACTCAATGGTATCCATTGCGGGGTTGTCTTACTCGGGTACTCTGCTGGCACCCTTAGATGTGGCCAGTGCAGAGCCGTTTCCATCCATACAAAGTTCCGCATACTCAGCGTTTGCAGTCTCAGTTCTGGATTTTGTGAGCTTTGACGCCCTGCCTTTGTCGAAGCGCTTCTCGCAGATGGAATTGCCCCTCACAGCTTTTGGGGCGGCTAATTTCGATGTGCTGCCACCACTACCAGACCCAGTTCTCCTGGGCAGCCCTTTGCCCCTGCGATGCGGAGCCCGACCTGGCCTGCCTGTGCCAGTCTTTGCCTTTGCGGCCTTTGAAGCGCCTTTGTTGGTGCAGAACCTTGCTCGCGCTGAGTTGGTGCTGCTTGCGGCTGGGCTTTCAAGACTGGATGCAGCATTGCCCTTCCCAGACCATGCAATGCCTGGCTCTGCAATGCTGCTCCGCTCTTTTGCACGTCCAGGTGCTTTGCTGTTGCAAGTTGACTTCATGCAGGCAGAGCCATTTGTGTTGCTCAGAAGCTTGCTGTGGCCCGGGTCTTCGTTGCTAGCTGGGAGCCACGCGCATTTTGGCTTGCCTTTGCCCATGTTAGACCATTTGCAGCCGGACAGCACGCCACCTCTGAAATCCTTTGCGTGACTTGGATTTGTGTTGACAGCTTTGGATTTTGTACATTTGGGCAGCTCCCAGTCCGTTCGCAGCATGCTCCGGGCAGGAGTCAAATTATCCTGCCGAGGCTCTGCACAATCGTGCTTCACACCCTTTCTGGTGGACAGTGTCTCCTTCGGCTCCCTTTTGATAATCAGGAGCTTTAGCTGGGCTGCTTCAGTGCTGATGCTTGACTTCGTTGAACTCGGCCTCCCGGCGTCCTTGCAAAGCCTAGTTCGGGTTGCGCTCGCTTTGTCTGTTTTTGGTTTTCTCAGGACGGACGCCTCAACGCTTGTCTTGGACTTCGCCTTTCTCGGTTTCCCCCTCTCCTTGAAAAGTTCCTGCAGGCCAGACCTTTCAGTTCTGCTTCCTGGTAGAAGTTGCGCAGGCGAGTTCATGCCTTTACCTCAGCATCTTACAGTGGGCTCCTCGTTCCCCATGAGGCAGCTTGCCTGCACCGGCTTTGCGGTTTCAATCTTGGCACGGTCGAGCTTTGGCCTTTCGCCTTTGGCTCTTGACCATACCCGCACCGATGTTTCAGCTGTACTGCGGAGCTTTATGTGCTTGGACTTTCTCCTGCCTTCGTTGGACACTGTCAACACGGGCTTGTTGCCTGCTATGCGTGGCCCTCATTGTGCTGAACTCCTGCTGTTTGTGTTAGGCAGGGCTCGCCCAGACTTGTCGCCCGCAGCTGCTGACTTTGCTCAGCTCGGGCCAAGCACTTCATCGAGAGCATTTGCAAGGATTTCATCCGGGATTCCAGTTATAGGCACCTTCCGCTTGGCACCTTTCATGCTGCCGGCTGACAGTATCACCATGGGCAGCCCGTCGCCTACCAGATGTTATGGATGACTGGGTTCCTCGCCTTTCACCGTGGGTGTGCTTCGGGCCGGGCAGGAGTTTGATACCTCAAGCTGCCTCTCGATTCGGGGCTTCGCCAGAACGGGCTCTTCTCTGTCGATTTTCTACTGTGCCCGGCTTGGCTTGTGCCCGCCGGCCTTTGACTTCCTCACGCCGGGCAGCTTGATTTTGTTGCAGGCATTCTCCTGCTTGGAAGCGTCGGCGCCGGCACCACGGCCTGCAAATGTTGGAGTCCCCATGGCTTTGCGTTCCTTCTCCTGGCTAGGCTTTCCGCTCCCCGTGCCGAAGGCCTCCAAGGCAGGAGCATTTCCACTTCTGAGAAGTCGTGCTCGGCTGGCATCGTTGACTCCTGTGCTCGGTGTTGCTTGCCCGGAGTTGCTGCTTTCAGCCAGTGAGTGGTCTCACACTGGTGCCATCCTATTTCCAAGAAGCTTTTCTTGATTTGGCACCCCAGTTTTTGCCTTGCAATTTTCCAATTTGGGGTCAGTGCTGCCAGCACGGATGTTCTGCCAGGCAGGGTTATTGTTGTTTGTGCTTGGAAGGCTTTGGGCTGGACTTCTCCTGCCAGTTGTCTGTTTTGCACATTCAGGCCTTCCGCTGGTTCTGCGCAATTCCTTACGCATCGCTTTTCCCACGTTGGCCTGCGAAACGGTTCGTTCAGATGTGTCGTCAACCGTGTCGAATCTTTCACTTCTTGGTGTTTTGCTGGTGGTACAGAGCTTTGCTTGCACAGGCTTGGCCGTTGTGGCTCTGGCAGCGGCGCACATTGGACTTACCTCGCTTTCACAGACTCATGCTTGCACAGGGGCCTTGCTGGCAACATGTGGGGCAGTTGGGGTGGATTCTTTCCTCTTTGTGCTTGACCTTGCCGAATTGGGCTCCTCCCTGTTACTCAGGAGGATGGCTTGTTTGGCAATGCTGGTGTCGTCATGTGGGCATGCAAGCTTGGGTTTGTTTCTGCTTGCTCTTGGCTTTTCGCAGCTGGAGTTTCTGTTGCTGCCGCAAGCCTTTGCATGGACAGGTGCTTCTGTGGCGGTGCTTGGTTCCTGCCAGCCAGGCGTTCCCCTGTTCCTGCGCAGCACCTGCCGAGCAGCACCCCCCATGCCATTCATGGGGCTCCTCCAAGTCGGATCAAGCTTGGCTGCTTTGGGCATGTCAAGCTTGGAGTCGAGCACGCCGGTGCGCAGCCCCGCTCGCTTGGGTTTCCCCTTTCCCTTCTTTGGCTTGGCTTGGCCTGGCAGCTTGCTGCTGGCACCCGGGTTTGCCCACCTTGGCAGCCCAACCGCGATTCGATCAGCGCTGAGGTTGGGCTCTTCAGCCTCTTTCATTGGCAACTGCAACTTTGAAGGTGCCATGTCTGCTTTGGATTATACAACCTGTGGTGCCTTGTCGTCAGCCCGTGGCTCTGCCTGCCTAGAATTAACGTTGTTGCCACCGGGGTTGTCCTATTCAGAATCTGCAACCTCGGCACTTGACCTTTCCCATCTTGCAATCTTCTTGTTGCTACAGAGTTGGAGCCATCCCAGTGCGCCACTATTGCCGTGTGGCATTTGTTACGTGGGATCACCTCCTCCTGCCCTCGACTATCTGCCGGTAGCTTCTTCAGCGGCTTGGCTTGCAGCGGATCGTTGCATCCGCAAGATGGCATGCTGACAGAGGCCCAGAAAAAGTCAGAATCTCACCCCCAAACCTTGCAACTAGTAGCAAGCGCTGCTTTGAGCCAAGGTCTCCTTGCAAGGCTTTGCACGTATTGGGCCAGCAGCGCCTGCCCCTGCAGCAGCGCACATGGGTGCCTTGATGTCATCAAAGTGTTACGGCCATCCAGCAGCATCCTCGTTTTTGCTGCTTGGCAGCATTGAAGTCTAAAGTCATTCATTGCAAGCTTTGGCCAATAACGAAGATGTCAGATGTCACCAGGAAAAAAAGAGAGACCACACAATAAACGCACCAATCTCGGGTTGATGACACGTGACGGAGTTGCTATAGGCCAGTCAAATCAGCAAACAGTTAATTGAAGTCTACTTATCCCATGCTTGAAACAAGGGCAATTTGAGCGTAGCGCTCTTTCTGTTGCAGGCGTTGGCAAGAAACCCGGCCCTTGGACGTGCTTTCAGTTTTCGTTGCGTTGGCCGAGGTATGGAATGGGTTGTTCGGAGTCCTTCACTTCGCTGCCGAGTTGTGACTTGGCTGGCTCGCCGATGTCACTTCAGAGCCCTGCTCACGTGGACCCAGCCGCCTTTGTGCTCAGCCGAAGCCTTAGTGACCCATGACACTCCGCGTAAAAACTTTGGGCACCGAGGCCCTTCTCAGATTGGCAGCCCGCCTTTGTTGCGCACCTCCTTGCAACTGGGTGCCAGCTCAGCGCTGAATGGCTGCTACGGCACAGGCCGCAGCGCATTTCTCAATCACAATTTAGAATCTTGCTTTGTGCTCTGTCACCTTGCTCTGTCGATTTGTTGTGGACCTGTGTCAGGCAAATCTCTGCTTGCTCTTGACTTTCTCCACCCAGAGTTTGCCTTGGCGCTGAGGACGGCCTCATGAGCATCCCTTGCTGCAATGAACAAGACGATGTTCGGCCCAGCCGAGGAGTCTCTCTTGGTTTGGCTTCGCCCCTGCAGCCTTGGACGCCACGAATCTGGCAAGCCCGCTGCCGTCAAGGACATTGCGATGCAAATAGACTCGGCAGAAGGAGGCTGCACCCGATGCTCAGGAACTGCTGCAGACTGGGACCGCCCTCGCCCACGTTGGGTGCAACTTTAGAGTTTGCAGCACACCTAGCTTTCTAGATCTTTCTAGATCCTAGGCTCTAGCAACTCCGTACTGTATGCTGGTGTGCGTGGGCTTTGCTGGAGGCAGTCACCGTATTGGATGTGACACTGCTTGATACATCCTCGGCTTTGCGGCAGCCTGCTTGTAGCTCAGACTGGGGTAGTGACGGGCAATGGCTCGGACAAGGTGGGGTGTCGGCAGAGCCACAGTCTTTTGACAAGGCTTGATTGGCGCCTTCCTCGTCGTTGCCGGGTGCTGCATCACTCGGAGTGCCCTTGCTGGCGTGCGATGTCGTCGGGCCTGGCAGTGTGCTGCTTGTGAGAAGCAAGGAGCCCAGACAAACATCAACGAAATGGGGCTGGGATATGAAGAAGCAAGCCGGGCCCAATGCGCACACCAGGTTTTAGTCACGCGGATAGCTCACTGCCATCAGCGGGAATTTCGAAATCAGAAGCGCCAGCATCTCAAGAATTCCCTTGGATCGGGGCACTGTGAGTGAAATTGTGTCATGTTTATGTAGGCGTTCAGGCATGCCACTGCATTGTTTGTCATTCGATTGTTGCATGCCAAGGCCTTTTCCAGCCTCAGACTTTGCAGGCCGTGTGGAAATGCATGTTCCGTGAAGGAAGGTAAAAAAACGCAGGGCAATGCACCCGAGGTGTCGAGTTCCCTTTGCTGGTGCAGACGCTTTGCTGCTGTCCTCGGGCTTAGAGGGAATGGTGCAGCCAGGGCTGCCAGGCTCTGGTGCCTTGTTGGATCCATTTGCATGAGGTGGCTTCTCCTTTTCATTTTCTGGCATCACCATGCTGGACGCACCTTCAGCCCGAGCCTTTAACGAGCATCGCATGACACATCTACGAGACAGGGTTGGTGGTGGTAACGCCTTGCAGGTTGTCGCTGATGCTGGCTCTTCGGGACCACCATTGCCATTGCAGCCACTTAACAGCAAACAATTTGATGCTGTAGTCACACTTCTTATGCTTGCCGCAGCTCAGGTCCTCAGCGCGAGCAGGGTGCAGCACTTGATGTTTTTAGGGTTTGCATGGTAGCGCTGCACGCCGTTGTGATGGACCCATGTGTCATGCAGCATCAGGTGGTCGGTCAAAAATGGATTCCCGTTTTTAGAGTTGGGCTTGGTGGCCATTCAAGGCCTTCTCCTCTGCTGGCCGGAATGGCCAGACCGGACATGCTAGCGCTGGCCTGGTCCTTCAAACATGTATACAGTGCAAACGCTTTACAGGAGACGTGAGGTAAACTGTCTGATGACGCAAAGGCCTTGGACTTTGCGGTTTCCGGCAGCACTTTGTCACCCCAGAGTTTCGCAAGGCACGATCCACATGACGGGTGCAATGCGGGAAGGGCCAATGCTTTGTGGCCCTAAGGCTGGCATTGCCCCCGCCCGTGCTGAGCAGCGGCTTCTTAGGGTCGCTGTTGCCATCGAGAACTTGCTCCAGGCGTGAGGAAAAATGGGAACGCAACGCCAGCCCATTTGCGCCGAAGTGGAAGCAAGGCCAGAATTATTCTCGTTACTGCCGGGCTGCTTCCATGTGGGCTCGCCGGCCACACAGCCCTGAATGCGCAATGCGTACTGAGCCGGTTTTCAGCGATTTCAGAGAAGATGAGGCCCTCGCCGGCATCAGCTTGGTGCAGAGCAGGTGCCTTTCTGTTTCTGCAGTCTTTGGCGCAGCTGCGGCCTCAGCGCCGGCCTTTGCACACTGGCAGCAAATGCCAACCCGTTGAAAAGGCTGGGGCTATTGCCAGCTGCCCTGGGAATTTCGCACCCCGGAAGCGCGCTAGCAGCACTGGAGGCAGAGAGTGCGAGTGTCTTGTCAAAAGGGGTCACGATGGTCATGAAGATTTCGGGGCTGGACGCATTGTGCCCCACAGTGCGCTCACCATTTCAAGTTGCTACTTGTGCTTTTGCAAGCGCTAGCGGCACAGTTCGCATCCTTGGACGTCACCTCGCTAATACGCAGCTTCCTCCACATCGCGTGCCCTGGCTGCAGGATTTGGGAATAGAGTGGGTGACACGTCGATTGAAGCCACATGTTTTAGGAGGACTACAGGTGGATGCTTGTGCATGCCTGTGTTCTCTGCATGCGTGTGCGAGCGCAAGCATGTTTGCGTTAGCTGTGAGAAAACCAGGCCCTTTTTGCTCGTCCTTGGCATCGCTTCATTGGGCAGTTTATTGATCGCCGCGGACTTTTCAACCACAGGCCTCTTGGCCAACATTATATAGCTTAAGCATGAAACTTTAAGAACCAATGCGCCGGTGCTGTTCCTCGTATGCCAGGCCCATTCTCGCTCCCACGCCTGCGCCTTGGACACTGCTGAATGAGCTGATGCAACACCCAACCGAGGCAGTCATTCCCAATCAGAGCTGGCATTAGCACCCTTTGGGGCAAGCAAGCTTGGCTTGCCACCAATCGCTCCTGATGTCTCAACGCCTGGCAGCAAGGCTCTCAGTGTTTGTACATCAGCAGCCTTTCCGTGCAAAGAGACGTGCTTGGGCCAAGGCAGCACGCCCTTGAGACACTTCTTGTGTCCCGGCTCGCTTTTGACCCCACTTGGTCCAGGTGCCTCTCCGACACCATGACACAATGTTTGCATGGGCCCCATGCAGGCCGTTCGGGCTCAGCTGCAATCGTGCCTGCTCGGGCCCCTGGTCAAAGTCTTGCAACCAGTCATGCAAGCGTTGAAGCCAAGGATCTCCTCCGCCTTGACCTGGTCCTGCTCCTGCGCGGCTTCGCTCAGGTGGCTTTTTCTTTGCCAGGTGCTCAGTGCTGTGGGACTGCAGCGCAGTGCCATTGCCGTGCCGTTGCCGTGCCGTTGGTGCTGGGCCAGTGCTTTTGCGCGTGGCACTTCGCTTCCGCTTAGGCTCGCTTTGGGCCTGGCACGGCCAGATTCCTTGATGGCGGCGCTGGGTTCAGCACAGGCAGCAGCCAAGGATGAGAGAAACAATGGCTCAGCATTCATGCTCTGACCTGACTCAGGTTGCAGCCTCCTTGCTGCTCCAACAGTTTGCTTGTGCAGACTTGCCCCTGTTTGCGTTTGCCCCTCAGGCTTAGGTCTTGTAGTTTGGTGACTGCTCTAAACTTGGCAAGTGGTCATTGCCAGAATCGAAGGCCGTCGATTGCGCGAACAGATGCCCCGACACTGATTGCGGAGACCCGGCTGTTGAAGGGGGGTTTTGGGCTTTGTGCTGTGCTTGAGCAGAGCTTGCAGTGATTCTGCTTTTGCTTTTGGCTGAGTGAGGACAGTGGTCATCCTGGCATGTTCCTGTTCCTGCATTGCAGCGCTCCCAGGAATATGATAGCACCTTAGGGCCCAGCCGCAATGGTGGCACAATACCGAACCAACACGAGGCCTCTCAAGGGCAGGCTCATTCCTTTTCGCTCTGGGCATTGGACGGGTGTTGGCCCCAGCTTTGATGAACGGGCCAGGGTTTTAGTCCATGCAGCTGTCGCACCGAGTTGGGCTTCTTCCTTGCCGTGGCGGACTCCTCGCAGACAGACGTGCCTCCTTCAATCAGGCGGGCTTGACGGTTTTCGTTTTTGCACCCTAACAAACTGGTAAGCATTGGAGCAAAAATGCATGACAGCAGCCGTGGGTTTCAACTTTAATGCAGCTTGCGCTTCTCGCGCCACAACGCCTTGCCAGGAATTTGGGCAGATCTGGCGTAGCCCTGCTTGCACTTCAAGCCTGCCGACCGGGCTCAGCACTGTCAATCATGGACTTAGAGCCTTGTCTCAAGCAGTCAGTGGGATTGGGGCTCCGTCTAAGTTGTTTGAATAAGATTGGCCATTCGGGCTCTCACACATGAAGGCCTCCTTTGACGTCTTCTCGCTGGTCAGATCGTCTGAACCTCAATCTGGACAGGGAGAGAGAGAGAGAGAGAGAGAGACAGAAAGGAACGAACTCAGAAATGACTCAACTCAGAAAGAAAAAAAGAAAGAAAGAAAAAGCAAGAAAGCAGGAAAGCAATAAAGCAAGAAAGAAAGAAAGCAACAAATAATGAATTTATATGGAGAGAGAGAGAGAGAGAGAGAGCGAGCGAGAGAGAGAGAGAGAGAGAGAGAGAGGGAGGGAGGGAGGGAGAGATCGATAATTGCAAAAACACGCGCACTCACACACACGCACAGTGAACCACAAAACGCTTGTGACTGCCATCATGCAGCCTGGGGACATCTAAAACTTCTTGTCAAGAGGTGAGTGTGTCCATCACCTGAAGCAAAACCACATAGAGCTGGAGTTCACTACGTTGCGCCATGGCAGTCTAAGCTTGGGTGCCCCATGGTGCCCCTAATTTGGTGACTGAATTATCCTTGGCTAGAATGCTCAAGACTGTGCAGGCACAAGTCATCTTTCGCAGAAGGGGGATTAACAAAGGCCAACTTATCCCGAAAGCTGGCCTCGAAGAGGCTTCGCTCAAGGTTGCGCCTTGCGGGGGGGTTTCCCTATTGAAATCTCGAAAATGGGGGTGGTACGGTAGTGAGTGCACGGGTGCATTTTCCATACGTTTGGGGCGCGGCGGGGGCTGACTCTCGCCCTGTCCGGACTGGTTTGCTGCCGCCACCTGCCGCATACTCGATACCCGTGAAGAGGACTTGAGCAGGCTGGTGAAGAAGGCACCGTTGGCCTCATGCTTGGGGGGTTTAAGTTTTAAGGTTGCCTTTTTGGTTTGAGGGTTTTGGTTGAGGGTTTGGTTCAGGTTTAGGGTTTAGGCTGCTGGCTTTGGTTTAGCATTTAGGTTTAGAGTTTCGGCTTAGGGCTAGGTTTAGCATGTTTCGGCTTGGGGTGTCGGTTTGGGGTTCAAGCTCAGGGTTGATTTCAGTTTAGGGTTTAGGTCTTAAGTAAGATGTGCGTTCTTGAAGCTCAATGTAGTTGTTCAATCAAATGTGATGGCAACATGTTTGCTCGCAATTGTCGCAAGAGGAAGGCTGAACTGCTTGACTGAGGTTTGCATGCTTTGGCTTCGGTCCGCCAACGACAGGAGCCTTTGCATGAGACTTGTCCATTGCTGCACCTGCCAATCAAATGTGCTCACTCCATTCTTGGAAGGCGATGCAACAACTGGCGGCAACGTCAATTTGGTCAGCACCAGGCTCAGAGGTCATATTCACATGAGGTTGCAGAACATCAAGGAACAGGTGGCAAGTCTGCCGTGCTCTGAGCCATTTCAGCGGCAAATCGTGCTCCGAGGCTCCTTGACAATTCGACATGTTGGCGACCTAGAATCACGCTTCGGGCAAGGAAGGCAAGCAGCAAGCATTCTCAGCTCTCTTCTGATCCTCGCTTTGCTCTGCCTAGCTTTCCGTTTCCCACCCGAGGTTGGCCGACCTGACTTTCTGCTTTTTGCCTTGGGATTGGCTAGCTTTGGCAGCTTTTCGCTTGCCCCAGAGCTCATGCAGTTGGGCTTCTCCCTCGTCATGCGCAGCCTTGCTCGCCATGGCCTTGGCATGGCCTTGGCATACCCCCTATGCAACAGTACGCTGAAGCATGGAGATTCGGAGATTCGGAGATTCGGAGATCGTTTGTGGCAAGAGGGCCTGAATCTTCCCAAGGCCTGGGGTTCATGATTTTGGCACTGCATTCTGGCGGTCGTGGACTCGGATTCAGTGTGACAATAGAAACCGGAGCCTCAATTACCACAACTTGCATGTCACAAGAGGGCCCTCGGTGAGAAAACGGGAGCAGGTTCCGGCTCATCTTTGCCCTCGCGAAACTTTGCTCGCCCAGATGCTGCCTTGCATTCTGCTTAGCTTTCTTAATCACGATTATTTGCGGAACATGGGGCTTGCATATTGGCTGCGCTCACCCTGGCAATCAAGGCTTTTGTGTGGCAAAGCCCGGTTGGATTCCATCTTGGTGGCCAATGGCAACCTATATCCAGGTCAGGCCCTTTTGTCTTTGCGAAACCTATGGCTCAAAGTGCTGGCGTGAGGCTTTGCTCTTTATTTCAACGGGCCGACCCTGGGCTGCATTTGGGCTGCGCTGCAGCTGCCTTGGAACTAGATATGCGCCGAGGAACAACTACATCTACTATGACACTGTGGCAACGGAGTTGCGAATCCATGTGAGACGCTTAGAGTTGCTGTTGCAGCACTTTTCCTGCTGAATGGGCTGAGGCGGGCGGTCTCAAGAGAATGAGCATCAGCAGTACTGGTGGAAGCCTTCATGGTAACGTCCTCAAGCTTTTCACCACCTGTTTGCTGTAAGTGCTGCTTGGACATTGGGAGTATCTAGGAACCTGGTCGTCCGAAAGCATCATCAGTGCTTCAGATGAGCGTCTCAAGTCAAAGACTCAGATTGACCAAATCATTTTGAGACTACTGCAAGCTCTGAGTGTTTTCTAGGCGCCGCATTGAGCCACTGGATCGCGCACTCGCTGCCAGAGCCCAGCCAGCATCAATTTCACCAGGACACGATTGCAGTGAAGGCCACGAAACGCACAGCATGCGGGGGTAATTTACAAGGGTCTCAGCTCAGTCTGTCTTGATGCCAGGACCTCCGAATAGAGCAGAAGCTGTGAGCTGGCTGCTGCGGGACGGGCGCTTTGCACACCAGACTTGTTCCAGTCAAGCTTCTCCTTGCTTGCTATAGTTCACTTTTTTGTAATTCCTTTCAGGAATTTTACGTTTGTTTCCTTTAGGAGCTTCGGCCAGTGTCTTACTACTTCCGAGAGGGGCCAGAGGCAAAGCTGGCAAGGCAGGCCTTGCAATGCTTGTGTTGGAGTGTGAGGGCATTCAACTCGCTTTGGCCGTACTGACGCGACACTGCATGTATGCGCTGCTATCGGCTTGCACAGATGTACATAGGTAAGTTTTGCATCGTGAGGCAGCTGTTTGCAAAGACATACTCCGTCTTACACGGCTGTTGGCAGTCATTTGCAGAGAGTTCAAAAACACTAACACATATTGTGCTGCACCGGCACTTGCCCTTGCGGGTTCCAGCACGGAGTGGCATTTGCCTCGAAGGCTGCTCAACCAAATCATACCTGTGCCAGAGGTCTAATTTGTTCATCAGTTTAGCTTTGCGTCTCCAAGCTGCCATGCTGGCTTGGAACCTGTGCGGCAGAATTCGGCGTCAAGCCTGGGTCAGGCCATGGCTGGCAACTCGAGGTGCCAAAATTCTGCGTTGGGAATGTGACACGCCGCTTGCCCAGGAAATGGCGGCATACCCAGAGGCGATCGACTTCCTCAATTTTTGTTTGGAGAACTCTGGCGAATTCTCCAAGCGAGACTGGCTGGCATCCCTCACGCTTCTGACAGTTCGGAAGCGCTTCAGCACCTCCATGCCGCAATTTCAGCAGTACAGCCAGGTGCTCCTGAAACGGGCAGAAAGCCACTTCCCCGAGAGCATTCACCTGCTCTTGCACAGATATGGTGTTATAGGCTATGCGCCAGCGGTTTGGAAACTTTTGCCTGTGATGGCCGCGCGGGTGCCATGCATGACCCCAAAGCAGATTGCGCTCTGTGCTTGGGGTCTTGGGCGAACACTTGTGCACGATGAGCAGGCGTGGGTTGCACTTGGAGGCGCTGTCTGTGCTCGGGCGCCAGACTTTGTGCTCCCTGATTTGGCTATGTTTGCCTGGGGGCTTGCAGCAGTTGACCGCAAGGCTCCTGCAGAGATTGTGGCGCTGAAGCAGGCTGTACGCCAGAAGCTGATGGGCAACAGCCTCGAGGATGTGTCTAGCCACAACCTCTGCATGTTGCTGAAGGCAATAAGTCAGCTAACGCCGGGCGACCAGCGGTTTCTAGAGTGGTTGTTACTCATCATGCTGGAGGCGATGGAGGCCAAGTCCGTATCCTTTGCTGCGCAGGGCATTACAAGTATTTGGAGTGCTTTGGCTCTCCTGAAGTGGCGCCCTGATGATCGTGCGCTCGAGATTCTTTGCGAAGAATCGCGACGGCTGCGGCTTGATCACACTTTCAACCAGGACATGGCATCTGATCTTGCTAAGTCGTTGCTTGTGCTGAAGGTGGACGACCAGAGGCCTGAGTATCAAGTTGCAGATTTCGTAGCACGCCGCGGACTTTCCTTAAGATCAGACACTCTTCTCATTTTGTCGGAGTTTATGGCCATCCGCCAAGTCAGTCATGACCTGGCGTGGAAGCGACTGGGAGTTCGCGCGCAGCAACGAGGGGTGGACCTTACCCTGAAAGACATCGACCGTCTTGTTGCGGCATTCCGGCGAGCTGGCCGCGGGAATCAGCGGATTTATGGCATGCTCAGCCTATTCCTGCGGCTCCGTGAAGACCAGGCAAAGTATGGGGCTGCTTGAGAGGGAAAAATGTGCACAGGCGGCACGGGTTGCAAGCTGCTGCAAAGAAAGGGTCTTTGGTCTTGCTGCATTCCGTCAAGAATTTCGCACACCGCATCGTAGGTATGGCTTCATTGCACAAGAGCTGGAGAAAGTCATGCCCGAGCTTGTTCGAGACCATAAGGACCTTGCTATGGTTCCATTTATGTTTGCTTTCTGACCCTGTCTTTTGCAGGAGAAAAAGCACGTGGTGTACCAAGACCTGGTGGCTCTTCTTGCCTTGTCGTCGCAGGCAACAGCAGCAAGTTTTCGCCGGCATGACATTTGACATGACCTCGTTGTGTCATGCAAACTGGGCAAACTATATGGCAATGTGAGGTCCAGCAGGAGCGCCTAGAAGAGTATGAGGCTCGAGCCCGCAAACGGGCCGAAAAGCTCAGAGACCAGGCACGCGGGAAGCTTCCTTGCGTGTTCCAAGTCGGTTCACAAGTTTGCCCTTCAGTCATGTTGAGGTGTCGGCCCAGCCATGCTGCATCATAACTCTTTGCATCCTGCTGTGAAGGGCTCCTTGCTGACAAAGTTGAGCCACGCAGTGGCAAACTTAGCCAGGAGGACGTCCACGGGCTAGTTGCGAGCGTTTATTTGCCTTTTTCCTCCTGCTTCTTTGCGGTGCAGCTTTGAAGGATTACCCGCTGGGAGACTGTTGTGAGACCGCTGAATGCTTGGAGCCCAGCATGTTGAGAAAATAGAGGAAAAGTGCGGCAAGCGAGTCTGCAGAAGGGAAGCAAACAAGATTGAATGAGCATACAAGAGCAAGAGCAACTTTGTTCTGGCAGGTCAATAAGCAAATGAAGAGGTCAAAGTGAAGTGGCTGCGAAGGCACGAGTGCCAAAAGCAGTCCTTCCTTCCGGCAATGAGCTGCCACCAGGCAGCCTGCCTTTTGATAATGTGAACTCGGAGGGCGGGCTTCTCGCACCCCGAAGCGCTTGCAAAAAGGGAGAAGCATCATAGCCAATCATGAGGCAACTCAGCTGCAAGGCACGTGCACGTGAATGAGACAAAGCAGCTGATGTCTTTGCATTGGTGCCCCAAGCCAACATTTTGCTCTGCAGCTGTGTGTGGACCAAGCCGGGCTGTTCATGACTGATGTCCCAGATCCAAGTGGGCCAGGCAAGCTGTGAGCGTGTGAAGCTGCGAATCTCTGGTGTTGATAGTGGAGACCTGGCCAGGAGAAGCAAGCTGCGTGAGCCAGGAAGTGTTTAGACTGGCAGCCGGGGCCAAAGCGCCCGTGCGGGCCATCTCCTACGAGGCAGCGGTTTCGACACAACCAATTCCTTCGGGAGGTGTCTTGAAGGGCGGACAACTGAATTTCGCAAGTTCAGACGCGAGGCACTGCCGTTTGAGCCCTGTCAGGCTGAGGATGCGCAGGTGCTGGATGTGTACAGCTTGTTGGGGGGCAGAAGCAGGCCCTCTCAATTTCTCAGCTCAATTCTCAGCTCGCAGATGAAGCAGCAGTTGCATGCAAGGCTGGTGGATCCCGCTTCTTGGCATACAATACTGCAGTAAGAAGGGTACGCATTGCTTTCGGTCAAGCCGACAACGCTGCAAGGTCTTACAAGGCCATAGCCGTTTGGTGTGCTGTTATGGCCGTGACTTTGCTGAAATAGAAGGCAGATTTGCTCATGGTGCCCTTGCTGTGAGTTCCCAAGCAAGCAAGACTCTGGCGGTATGGAAGTTGCATGACGTTACAAGAGCACCCTAGGACGTCAACGCCGCTATAAATCGTAGCAATTTCACCATGTCAAGCTTGAGGACACCCTGCCGGAGTGCGCAACACGTTTCTCACACTGCGTACGCCTGCGCTTCTCAGGTTCGGAGATGGGGTTGCAACTCCTTGGCGATTTGTTCCGCGCAGCAGCCTCTGACATGATGACCGGGCCCCAGAGGTGTCCTCCATGAATTCCAGCGCCGTCAAGTCATCCAGAGCTTTACTCGGATGCCACCGAGGTCAGGGGCAGCTCGACAAACATCAGAGCGGCTTGTCCGGCTCGGAGTGTCGCTGCTTGAGTGCCGACAGCAGGACGGCATTTCTACCAAGTCGCAAGCGCGTGTGCGTCTGCTCGTGTCTGCGTGCGTGCATGCGTGCGCGCGTGTGCAAGTATGCAAGTGTGTGTGTGTGTGTACACGTGTGTGTGTGTGTGTGTGCGGAGTGTCAGATTTGCCCTGACACCACCTTTCTCGACGAGATCATGTTTGTCGCAGGGGAGTGCGGCATGACTGAGGGACCGCACTCAACGAAGCTACCTCAGTCATGGGATACCGGATCTGATCAATCCGGCGTACCTGCTTTCCGTGATTCTGAATGTCTTTTTGGCCCCCTTGGTTGCGGCGCTGTTTGTGCTTCTTGTTCTTTCGGGTAGCGTTTTCGCTGCTAGACGGAAGCCAAGTGACTGTGAGCCGAACCTATACCCACTCGAGACTCATCAGTTGTACTCGAGACTCATCAGCTGTACTCGAACGATTAGCATCCGCCCTTGGGAGTTGAAGTGTGGTCACCCCATCTTGGTGTACCGATCGTGTGACCCCGGGCCGGCTCGCCGGAAAATTTGACCTCAACGTTCTTATCATAGCCCAGCGGAACTTCACGTTTAAGCAGGAACGAGGTTTCACTAAAGGGAAGACAGCCGTCAGTTCATAGCTGCGTCTCACCTTTTCTCGCCTTCGTCTTCCGCGTGTCCGTCTTCTGGCTCTTCGCCCGTCTAGGGATGGCTTCTCCTTCCTCCCGTTCTCTTTTTGCTGCCTTTCGTGACCCGCGCGTTCGTCCTCCTCCTCTTCGCCCGCTTAGGGATGGCTTGGTTGTCCTCGCGTTGTTCACCTTTCTCCTCGTCTTCGTCTTCCTGTCCGTCTATTCCTACTCCTCGTCCTCCTCACGTAGTTTGGCTTGACGACGTCTTCTTCCCCTTCCGTTGCTATTTCGTGTCCGTCCTCTTGGCCCCCGTGTGGGATTCGACGTCTTCCTCCTCGAGCCTTGGTCTTCATCCTCTTTTCCTGTCTGGGCGGGATGCGTCGCCCTAAAAACGCATACTACATCCCTCTTCCTCTTCCTTCATCCTTCTTCCTTCTTTTCTCCTTTTGTCTCCTTGTCTTCTGCTTCTTTTCTTTTCTTTTCTGTTTCTCTTTTCTCCCCCCCGGGCGGGCTGCGGCGCCCTAAATACGCATCTCGCTCCCTTTGTCTTCTTTTCTCTCTTTCTTCTTCTTCTCTTTCCCTTTCTTTCCTTTCTCCTTTCCCCGGGCGGGCTGCGGCGCCCTAAATACGCATCTCGCCCCCCTTTTTCTCTTCCTTTTCTCTCTTTCTTTCTTTCTCTCTCTCTTTCTTTCTTTCTTTCTTTCTTTCTTTCTTTCTTTCTTTCTTTCTTTCTTTCTTTCTTTCTTTCTTTCTTTCCTTCTTTTTCTCCTCCCTCTTTTCCTACTACTTCCTGTTGCTCCTCTTCGCCCGTTTAGGGATGGCGTGTTCGTGGTGTCGTTCTTCAACTTCGCGGTGCTCTTCTTCTACCAGGTTTAGGAGGGTTTCTGGGCTGTTTGGGGTTCTTTGCCCTCGGCGGTGACCCTAAACTCGGGTTCCCCTGTTTTTCGTGTTTCTTGGTTGGGTTGTGCCCGCGGAGACCCAACGTGGGGCCTTTCTGTTTCTTTTGTTTTCCTGCTCTGTTTCTTTTCTGTTGGGGTCTTCGCCCGGTTTTGGAGCGCGTGTCCCCCCCCCCCCCGAAAAAGTGGTACTCGCCCCTCTTTGAGGGGCGTGTGTGTGCGGAGTGTCAGATTTACCTTTCTCGACGAAATCATGTTTGTCGCAGGGGAGTGCGGCATGACTGAGGGACCGCACTCAACGAAGCTACCTCAGTCATGGGATACCGGATCTGATCAATCCGGCGTACCTGCTTTCCGTGATTCTGAATGTCTTTTTGGCCCCCTTGGTTGCGGCGCTGTTTGGCTTCTTGTTCTTTCGGGTAACGTTTTCGCTGCTAGACGGAAGCCAAGTGACTGTGAGCCGAACCTATACCCACTCGAGACTCATCAGTTGTACTCGAGACTCATAAGTTGTACTCGAACGATTAGCATCCTCCCTTGGGAGTTGAAGTGTGTGTGTGTGTGCACACGTGTGTGTACACACGCGTGTGTGTGTGGCTGGATGGATGGGTGGATGGATGGGTGGATGGATGGGTGGATGGATGCGTGGACGGGTGGGTGGATCGGTGATCCTGCTGCGCGATCAAATTACCTCTCGATCCAGGGCAACCGCTAACCCTCGTGAGCTCTCACATTGCGGGCTTGCTCTGCCAGCCATTGAGTTGGGCTGTCAGATATGACATGGAAAGATTAACTGCTTTTATAGAAGGGTTCATCTCATAGACAAGTTACAATGGAAAGAGAGGAATGACGAAGAGATGAGGAATGAGGATTAACCGGTTGCAAAGATATCCAATATTTTTTATTGTAAACTTTAGGATCTATTATTTTCATATCTTTATCACGAAAGCTAGCTTTAGCTAGCTGAAGTTTCTCCTTGCGTAAGCAAGGTAAGGGGCTCAAATGCCGAAAGATTGATTTTTTCAATTATTTGAGCCGAAAAGATTGAAAAACATCAATTATTTAGACCCCCCCCCCCCCCCCCCCCCCCCGGTCTCAGGCTCGATTCCTCCCCCTGGGCAGTGGCTCAGTGTTCAGCAGTCTCGGTTTGCCCGTTTTGGACTTGGTGCTACGAACTTTTACATGTTCCACCGATTCAGCTTGTTCATTTGAGACCTCAGTCTTCTCGGTAAACCACCTCGCAAGAATCTTTGCACACGCAGCATGCAGAACCCAGAGGTGCTTTAAGACAGCTTCTGACGCCTCTCGTTGTTTTCATTTTTCAAGGTTTGCCACGCCACCATGTGCGTTTGCGTGTCGCATCCTACGAATCTTGCCGGGCCTCTCGTTGTACACAAGCTACCTATGAATCCACTATGTCACCGACCCATCTCATGCAACAACTGCTAGCTTTCGTTCACCCGCTCCTCAAGTTGTTGGTCCTAAAGATGGATCCAGAGAACAGCCAAGATTAGGAATGGAATGACGAAGGGAAAAGCTGACAGTGAATGGGTTCGTCTATAGACAGCATGTGGTGAAATCCTTTGCTCAGACCGTCTCATCCCCCCCACTTCTGGGTTCTGGGCGTGGGAGTGCTAGCGGACCTTTTGTATGCGTTCTTGTTCAGGCCGTAATTTGGCAATCTGCCCACAGTTTGACTGATCCAGGGTTTTGTGGCTCATTGGTCTTCAGACATTGTCTTAAAAGTTCAGGTGACAAGCGGCAAGTGCCAATAGCAACAGCATCTTCAGATTGCAAGCGTAGCTGCCGCTTGATTCCACCCTGCGAAACTCAGAAGCAATGTTTCTTCACTGGACGTAGGCACGCATGATACTTTGGACGAAGAAGGGGGGCGGCAAGTCGAGTTTTGCAACTTGGAGTTGCCGTTGCTATGACCGCTGCTGCAGGAGGACTCGGCAACACCATCGTGGACAGATGAAGTTGCTGGAAGGCCTATTGACGCTGAGCATGATTGTGTTGGGGCTGGCATGAGCATGGCGGTCTTGCCTGTTGCGTCACGCTTGCTTCAGCCAGCCAAGGATCCGTCCACCCTTGATGACAATGACGCTTTTGCTGCAAGAGCCCTGCCACCCATTGCAAAAGAGGCTGGTTAGACGACATTGAAGGTTCTTCTGCCCGCAGCCTTGGTGGAGTTGCTTCTGGTTGCTGATTCGCACGGGCTTATGCCTCAAACATTGAAGCTGCAGTGGCAGCTCGCCTTTTCTTCATGCATTGGCTGGGTGGCAATGTTGGTCTTTTCCGGCCCGTGTGCGGGTGTGTTTGGTTCACTTTTCTTGTTTTGTTTTTTGCAGCTGCCTCGAGCATGATACTGTATGCACCCTTTCACCGGGGACTTGTGGCCAACCAATAGGCCAGGATCCTTTGCGGCCTCTTCATTTTTGCGCTTGCTGCTTTGCTTTGGCTCCATTTTGCCGTCCTTTGCGGTTCAACCGCATTGACTTTACTGCCCCGCTTTTCTATCCTCCGAATGCGTTTGCAAGTTCCGATGTCATGTGCTCATCATAGGATGCTGCTAAGGCGCTTGTATGCACAAGCCAGCCCCTACTGCAGTGCTTCGAGAGCGTGGAGGAGTGCATTCGCGGCAGCTTGGTAGGAAATCAGGTGGCCTGTTTTCAGCCACATGTTGGGTCTCAAAGACAAAGCTCACAGCAAATCCAGATACCAAAGTCGCCCGCTTCTGACCAAGGCAAGACGGGTGACGCAGGCAGAGCTTGCATGTTTGTTTACAAAGTGCATCTATTGCCCTGACAGGCGAGTCTCGGCATTTCGCTATAGAACTCTCAGCTGCCCATGCGAATGAGATGGGCGCGCTGGCCATCGTGTTTCTGGCGTCACCTGCCAATGTGGAAGCTGAAGCGACGGAACTGCTAGTGCAGCATGCAAAAAGCCTGCGTCACATTGCTGGTGTTGTGCACAGGCCCCGTACAGGATTTGGCGTGAAACCAGCGAGTGTGGCCAGCTGCAGCCAGGACGAAACTATGCTGCTGTTACTATCTCCTAAGGCGAATCAGTCTCTTGCCTCACATGTTGCGGCAGAATGTTTGAAGATGAAAGACGGCGCTGCAAGTCCGGTATCTGAAATGAACCAGCCCAAGCTCAGCAATTTGCCCCTAACCGTCCACAAGCTGTACCAACCCAGCGGCGTGATTGCGTGGGGATGTCCAGATGCTCAATCACCAAGCCCCACATGTCGCAACTTCTGCAAAGCGTCAATCCCATCGCCTTCACCTGTTGCACCAGCCACTCCTCGAACAACGGAGGGTACTATCTTGCAGCGTATTGCAGAGGCAGAAGGCTTTGATGTCGATGCATGGCGCAGGGAGGCTCAGCAGAATGGTCGCCCGTTTGCAGACCAAGTGTCGGACTTGGCACAAGTGGTGATTCAGTTGCAGGATCTTCTTCGCGTTGTGGTCGGCCAAGTCAAGCTCCCATCTCCTGCAGTCGCTAGCTGGACTCAGTCGCGCCGCTCAGCAGACGCAACTATAAACGAGGCAATATCTCCGAGAGTGGCTGTGAGCAGCCCTTTTGCAACTCCATGCCATGTTCATTCGATGGCATCAACGGGAAACTTGGTGGCCTGTTCGCCCCGCAACCCTGTGGCCTCCGACTTGAAGCAGCGCCACTTGCCGGGATTTGAGGAAGGGGGCCAAGATGGAATGCAGACATGGTGACATGCGCCACTGCTCTAGGTGCGGAAGCCAGCGGCTCGCCTTTGACTCGCAGTTGCTCTGCAAACTATCCAGTAGGCGCCTGTGGGGTACGTGAGGGCCTACAGGGCGTTCTCACACCATCTTTGCCAGGGTCACTACTTTCCAAGGGCAGCATTATGAGTGTGCTTGGCGAGGCATGGGCGTCAGTCACGTGATGTTTTAGCTGGCTTGATGGTTCCAGGTCCAGTCACCAAAGGCTGTGATGAGAGACCTCTCGCCCTCAGAGCTTAGGTTCCTGCAGCTTTGCATGATACGAGCGCGCGCGTTTCTGGGCAGACCGCGATCCCTGCCGTAGCCTGGCTGAGGCATGGGTCCCCGCAGCCACCACCTCCGCCTCCGGGAGTTCAGTCCGCCGATCGAATAGAGTTTCTCTTTGCGGTATGGGCAGATGCTTGCGGCTTGGCCAGGCAACACAGGAGCCTCGTGCCGCGCAGAACGAGCCCGTTGCAGCCAGCCATGATGTCAGTCCCGTCTCCAGGGCCTGCGGTGCGCTGCCCAATGAGCACTACATGGCATAGCTCCACAGCACTCGCTGAACAGTTCCCAGGCTTCTCCAGCTCAATCGCACGGAATCTCGGTTTCTCAAGATGGCCACGTGCTACAATCTCCAAGGACCCCAGGGTTACACAAGTCCGGCGGAAACTTGCACTTATTTGCCGAGGACCGCTCAATGCTTGACACTCAGACATGTCTGCTATGGCAAATCTTTGCTTGCTTTGGAGTTCTCGCAAGCAAAGGCAGGGAGCGCGGTCCTCCCCCTAGCTGTCTTCCTGTGAGCCTTGCTTTGCAGACTGATGACAGCACACGTCGGAAGATAACCGATATTGTGCATGAGGTGCAGAGGGGCAGCGGTCACCAATGCCATTCCCACCACAGCACAAGGCTGCAAGCAGGCCAACCTGAGGTGCAAGCATGAGCATTGCAACAGAGGCGGTTCCCCACTCCGCCCGGGCTGCTGGTGGCATGGGCCAAGGTGGGCCAGGCATCGTTATTGCCTCTCAACTGCAAGGAGGCAACATGCTACACCCGGCGATGCCTATTGGCGAGGTTTGAGGTATGCCACACACCCACACGCCGAGGTGCCCGGTCAGACGTTGAGAGCAACGACCAGGGGCACCGAGAGCGTCAGCAATCTGCGCTGGGAGTGCCTCTTCTGCGCTTAAGCTTTGATTGATGCACCAACATGCCACGCCAAAGGAGATTCTTTGAGATGCTTTGGTGCATTGTGCTGCGGTGTGTCGCTCGTTGAGTGACACCTCCCTTTCAGGCCTTCTCCCGTTAGAGCGCCTTTGCTTGAATGTGTGCTCGTTTGTGGCCAGCTTCGGCACTCGTATCTTGAGCTTGGCATTTAGATTCAGCCAGAGCTTCCTGATGATAAAGGCACGTCCTGCAAGAATCCAAGGTCAGATTTGTGGCTGGCGCTGCCCAACAGGCTGGCTAGCATGTAGACTTTTGACCGGGTTGCCGTTCACTTTGTTGCCCGTACCCGAGCTTTCCCGACCCGTTTCTGCACAGGTTCAACTCCCTGCCACGTTCGCTCCACATGGCGGTGGACAGGCAGGACAAAGCATGGACACAGGTCAGATAGCTCACTCAAGTAGACCGACAATCAATGTCTCCAAGTATCGAAAATTGCACATGCAGGCATTGCCTCAACAGGTGCCTTGCTTGCACCTTACGGGCTCACCTGGGAGGGTCATAGGTAGTGCCATGAAGTGCTCGGCTCCTACCAACAACATGCTTTACGTCCACACAGGCTTCTGTTTTCAAAAGCCTTTCGCGTTCCTTCCGCAAAGGAAACCCTCTGCCCAAGCCAGCTTGTCAAAACAAACGCCTCTGAAACGTGTAGAGCAAAGAAGCTCTTTCCATTGCCGCTACGGCAGCCAACGTGCTGTCATTGAAATGTTGGCATCTCTGAACCCGAGTGGTGGCATGTGGTTGCCGTTGCGAGCCCTCATTTTATCAGCGATCAGGCACCTCGTAAGCCTGCATGTTGAGCAACCTCCTGGTAGCATACCTTGCAATGCCAGAGTGCCCTGGCGTTCGCGTCGGAGGGTTGGCTGCGCAACACTGCAGATGGCCTCACCACGCCAGTGAATCAACTCACATACTAGTTACTAGTCACAGGGAGTCTCGGCCACATGACCTTTCCGAGCAGATATGTTCTCCTGGCTGTTGAAGTGCGACGCGGCTCAGATGTCAGCCTTTGAGCCCAGGGAAAGCAAAGAGAACCATACCCGATCATTTGCAAGAGTTGCCAGGACAGTTGGAACTACGCTCACAATGTTAAGTTGGGTGTGAATTGTGCGCACTTCTCCTTGGGCCGTAGTGCTCTGTGTCTGTGTGTGTGTGTGCGTCGTTGCTTCTTTGCTTGCTTGGTTTCTTGTTTGTTGGGCGCCCAAACCTGTTCTCAGCAAGGTGGCCTTCCGCGTCGGAGAGCTCCGCCACTGGCCCAGGATGAAGAGGCAATCATTGATCTCAAATCAGCTTGCGCAGCATCGTTCTTCTCGTTTATTCATTTGAATGTTTGCTTTTGGATGCTGAGGTGCATGTCCTAGCATGTCTCCTCCGAAGATTGCTTGAAGCCACAAGATGCTTCGGTCACAGGGGACGGAAAATTGGATACCAAACGTACAGGTGCTATCAGGTGGCAATGCAAGGGCGAGAAATCCCACGGGCAAAGACATGATATGCGATGACATGCGGTCTAGGCTCGGGCAACAAAGGTAGCACTGTGCTGTGTACCCAAGCCATGGCGAAGAAGCTCAAGGCTCCCGTGGCAGTCAAGAGAGCCACGAAGTTGAGCAAGCAGACGTTGCGATCAGCGCTTGTCTCGGGCCTCAAAGAAAAGTCAGGGCGGAAAGACCTGAAATTCACAGCCGCTCCGGAAGTGGCCGGCAGGGCTGTTGGCATTGTGCCAATTGAGAAGAGAGCAGGATATCCTCTTTGCCTGCCCGATGGCGCTGTGGATCCCAAAGATTGGAAAACCAAAGATGGCGTGCGGGACTCAGTCGGCCTGGGTGTGACCAGAGCTGCTCTGTCTTCACATGAGTACGGTGAAACACGAAGCCCAGGCCCAATTTGATTCAGTGATCCTCAAGCAAATTCAGGCTGTTTTTAGGAACCCTGAGGTGCTTTGTGTCTTCCGAGCTTGTGACGAACAAACGCAAACATCAACAAGCCCACAGAGACATTGCAGATGGGGGCTTTCAGATTAGCTGCTTTGCACTTGCATTACTGAGTAAGTTAGAAGATCCTTTTCTTTGGAATGGATTCCTTGGGTTCTTCTCCGTGCAAGGTGCCACGCGGTACCAGGTGGGGCCAGGTCAACTGGTCAAGTTGTAAACTTACCTAAGGCAACGTACCACTTGGCCGTAGATACCTCAAAAACGCACTAGTGCTGCGCCAAATATATCGTGAAGCAATCCAATGCCCAGCCTGCCAACATTTCAGCCCACCTTGGACTAACTTGTGCATTTCAGCAGGCCAACATTTCGTTCCCGTGAGCCAATATCAGCTCTTCAGAGCTTCCTGTACATTTGAAGAGCTTCACGTCGACTAAAGATGGGGCCAAAACGTGTGAAGTGCTCCAACTCGCCTCGGGACGGACAAGTGGAAAGCGCAAATAATAGTTTCTGGGCTATCAGAGGGCAACGGAAAGCCACTCCTTTGTGGGAATCGTGCTTGCTGCTGAGGGAATAGGTAGCAGCAAAAAGCAACTTACTAAGTATCAAAAAACAACTTAATAGACATCAACAAAAAACAGTAGGCATCAAACAGAAGCTTATCGCTATTCTCAAAGTAACTGCGTGAAAGGAAGGAAGGAAGGAAGGAAGGAAGGAAGGAAGGAAGGAAGGAAGGAAGGAAGGAAGGAAGGAAGGAAGGCAGGCAGGCAGGCAGGCAGGCAGGCAGGCAGGCAGGCAACAGGAAGGAAGGAAGGAAGGAAGGAAGGAAGGGCTGTCGTGCTTGTTGCACTGGGGGGGGGGGGGGGGGAGGGGGTGCAGCCCCCCCTTTAGCTGCGCGCTATATAGTTCTTACCTGGCTAATGCCGTTGTTTGTGCTTGGGGGGCGGCGCCAAAAACACGTATTTCAGAGAATCAAGTAAAACTTCTTAGGCATCTTTTTTGGCACCATTGCAGTACAAAGCCTGGAAACTACGGCAAGAAAAACACACCTATCAGGCATCGGGGCTGCTGTGTTTAGTGCTTGTCGGCTGGAGTGGGTTTTGGGTGCGTTTCGGATGTGCTTAGGGCGGGTGTAGGATGAGTTTGGGCCCACAACCCGCCTCAAAGCCACTCAAAACCGACCCTAAGCCAACCTGCAGCAAGCAACCCCAGCAAGCTCTAAACAAAGCAGCTCCAGCCATGCCCGACAATTTAGCTTTTGATGCGTGATGAGTTTGTTTTCAAAGCCGCAGTTTCCGATTTTTACTGTGTTTTGCAGCAAAAAAGTTTTTGTTGATGCTTAACAGGCTGTTTGATGCCTCACCCGCTGCTGAGCTCGTTTTTGCGTTTCGACCTGTGCTCAGAATCCATCCGGCGCATTCGCCTCCAGCCGCTTGCTTGCTTCCGATTGATGGAAGGCAGCTGATGCAATGCCCAATGTGTATGCCCTCTCGTCAGCCAAACACCAAAATCCTAAACGCCAGGCTTTCACGCAAGGCAACAAAATAAATCCCTAAAACCAAAATGCGGTAGTACTTTTCCACTCGCAGACGAAGACGAATTCCAAAGACGCATTGACTCCAGGCTCTCCGAAACAAAGAAGAAGCGCGAAGACGAATTCCCCAAGCCAAATTCCGCCCCGAAGCCGAATTCTACCCGAAGAAGTCCTCCCAACGACAAATTGCGAAGGCAATTTCCCGAAGACGAACTCCTCCCCGAAGGCGAATTGCGAAGACGCTCAAGGAGAGGCATACGATCAACATCGAGACATCTTTTGACAAAAGCGTCTACTCTGTGGGGGGCCGTCTATGATAAGATGACGAGGTTGCCACGAACGCTTGCTGCCAGCGTGTCTGGTCAATGGTGTTTTTGAGGGAGCTTGGCTTCAGGGAAATCGTCTTCACAATTCGTTGGAATTCGGCTTCGGGGGGGAATTCGTCTTCGGGATGGAGCAAGCGCGCAAAGCGGTGTTTGAACATTTTCAGGCAGCCCCCAGGCGACCCGTCGAGCCTTGGTCTTCAGGAAGTTGCCGCGCTTGTCCAAGGACCCAACGACCGGTAACCCAGTTCCTGACTGTCGACTAAGTCGAAAACTTCGTTATCAAGCCAAGTTTGGCACTCTAGCAACTTTGCCTCAAGGGATTGCTTCTGGTAAGCTCTTATCTCAGTGGCTGTTGCTTCTTTCCGTTTCTTTCCAATGAGTGCGGATGTTTCTGAAGAGAAGTGCACCATCATTGTTTGTCATGTGCTTGGTCCGCATGGTTCTTGCCAGTGAGGCTCTGATGAGAGAATCCACACCGAGACGTGGGTGCCCTCGACCCTTCTAAGGAGAACGGTTCAATGCCTTTTGGGTCCGACTTTTCAATGATGTACGGAGATTGTTCAAATTATCTCTGGATGATGGATGAGGAGGCAGAATTGTTCCTGGGTGAAGGTTCAGGTGATTGTTCACCTGACTTCTTCCGAGTCTTCTGCTTTTTCTGTGTCTTGAGTTGTTTCTCAAGATGAGGCAGTTCAAGCTCTTCATCATTGTCTTCATTCTCTTCAAAGTTCCCGATGGTGATGGCACCACGACAGTCCGTAAAACGGTTTGGCGGATCTTGTGGATCCGTCGTGAATACCGCATTCGGATTTGTGTGCGGGCATGATCCAAGCAGATGGCTGATCTGGTTGCCTGAAGGCTACGCATCATCTTGTGGTGAAGTGAGCGGCGTGTTAATGCCAATGGCGTGTGTGCCGCGCATTGAGCGAACGGAACACACAAGGTTCCCACATGCGAAGCCAACGCGCATCGTTGGGTTTTGTCGAAAAAGGTCACTCGCAGTACCTGGCGGGTACTGCTTCATTGTCTCCAAAAAAAATTGGACAAATGAGCCATTGATGATAAATGGCTGAACATTCTTGTTGAACGGGAGATCTTGAGTCTTCAAAGACATACTGCTGCGTGTCATGTTGAACTCCCGGTCAATGGCACCCATCTCCTTACGGAGAATGTTTTGATTTGTTGATCGGTGAGTGGCTCAAAGATGTCCTCCAAGAGGTGCGCGTCATTGTCGAGCAGCTTCACCTTTATGTGACGCACGAGGATCTTGCGCGGTATGGATAAACCTGCGCCAGTTTGGTTCTGCTTCCGAAAGTGCCTGCGTTGGCTTCAAGTGGTTGATGTTCGTGTTTCACTGATGTCGTGAAATTCTTGCGTGTCCTGAAAATTCGCTATAGTACCTCGGGAGGCAAGCGCTAAAGCAAGCTTGTTGGCTGGAGGCATCTCATTCCGGATTCAGGACCCTTCAGTCATAAGTGAAGAAATGGAAGTCTCCAGGCCACGGATGGATCTGCGAATGATTGCTGCGTGCAATGTAAGTACCAGATCCTGGATGAGTGCGGACTTTCAACAGTGAAGTATCTCCTGTGCTTCAACTGGTATCGTGCAATCGATGCCACAAGTTCACCCATTGGGGTAGCGTTTCGCTTTTTCCAGACCGTGGTCTCTCTGGATGTTCTGCATGTTCGACCGTGGTCAGCGCACCGGTGCCATGAGGATGACATCGGGTGCCTGCTCTTTTTTCTATGAGAATGTTTTGCCCGTTAGATGCCATAGGTGTCGACAGGCATGGAAGAAAGGTCTGCAACAAGCATGTTTCCTGGCAGTTTCAAGGCTGCGGACTCGGGAGAGATTTTCCCGCCGGCTTCGATGGCTCTTGCAATCGCTTGATGAGCCTTCTTGTTCTTTCTGCAAGGCTTCCTTCATGGTCTCACCCTTCCAAGTTCCGAGATCGAGTCCTACCATTGCTTCATGACTTTTCTCCCTTTAGCCGCCTCCTTGATTTATGAGCTCGTTCGGAGATTCCGCGCGAGGGCGTCGCAACATCTAGTTGGTCCGAATGCTAGTTCCAATGGTGTTACGCCCGCGTAGGTGACGGCCTGGTTCCCGACAGACCTCTTCGAGTGAGGCAGGTGCTGTTCCTGCCTTGATAAAACTGAGCATGATCTTGAGTTGTGCCTTCAAGAGTCGCACTGCTGCTTCAGCTCGGTTCGGCCGTGGGGTGTTTGGTTGCAGCGAGATTGGTGTAATGTTGAGGGACAGATAGAAAGGCTGCTTCTCTTTGGCGCTGACCACGTCGAAGTGGACCTGTGCGGTGCGTTTCATTTTGCCTTGCGCCGCCCGCCTCAGACCTGTAATTGCGCCTATTTTGCCGCATTGCAGAAAGGAAGAATGTAAAAAGCAATCGCGGGGGGGGGGGGGGCGTCAGGGAATGAGGCGTCGGAATGCGGCGTCAGCCAGGAATGGGGCGTCAGCCAGGAATGTGACGTCAGGGAGGCGTGTGACGTAATGCGGCGTCAGCCGGGAATGCGGTGTCAGCCAAGAATGTTGCGTCAGAGAGTGCGGTGTCGCAATGCGATGTCAGCCGGGAATGCGGTGTCAGCCAGGAATGTGGCGTCAGAGAGTGCGGTGTCGCGGTGCGGCGTCAGCCGAAAATTTCGCGCCAGAGAATGTGTCGCTGGAACGCGGCGTCAGCCGGGAATGTGGCGTCATGTAGCGTCAGGGGAGAACGTGGTGTCAGGGGACGCGGTGTCACAGGCTTTTGGAACGCGGCGTCAGAACGCCAAGTCAGCGTCAGGTGGTAAAGCACAGGCCCTTCTGCGGCCGCCCTGCTAAAATCCTTGAACCCAAGCATCGTGAACCTAAAAAGAACAGCACTCAAGAAACGAAATCCTTACAGCCTCAAATCTTACTGCCTAAACCTTAAAGATCCTGAATGCCAAAAACCTCGCACAGAATTCATGGTGAAAAGGGTTGGTAGCTGTCCTGGCAAGATGATGGGGGCGGATTGCAGTGATTGGTGGTAAAGATTGCACCGGGGGAAACGCATCCGAGCGGCCTGGTAAACCAAAGAGGGATGATACGGACTCCGCAGAACCTTCCAGCCTATGGCCATACCACTGTGGGCAATCTGTTCAAAGAAGTTTAAAGACAGGCAACGTCAGCTGACCCCAGGTCAAAGTTGAAGTGGACTTTGCTCGCGTGCATTGGCTTCCTGATGAATGGGGACAGGGTGTGAAAACGACATGCCCCACAGCTCGAAGCACCGGTGGTGGTGGTGGCACACTCACGGCTTTTGTTAGCCCCGACATGACTGTCTACTATCACAAGTGCAAGGTGGAAGAGTATGTGGGCCGGCCATTGACCGAACGAGATGGCTTCAACGGGCAGGTTCGTTTGGCGCAGCTTCAGGCAGAGCAAGCTATCAACTTGGCGAGGATGCAAATCAAAGAGATGAAGGAAGGCAGCAGTTCGAAGGGCACACATCGGATGATCGGCACGGATCGTGATGCTGATTTTTTCAAGCTGCTGTCCCAGGCAGAGCGGAGGCGCCTCCACACAACTTAGTTTTCTCAACATCGCAGCGTTTTCTGAACCCCTCCCATGGCAGACGACTTGTTCCTATAAAGGTGTCTTCAACCTTGACAAGGGACAGCGAACGAGTGGCGGGCTACGCTCTGTTTGTCAGACTGGTCGTTCGTAGTTGTTCTTCGGCTTAAGCTCCTGAGACCGTTCCACAGGCAGGTTCCTTTGGCCACACATTTCCATCAGGGCATGTTTGTTCGATGTCTTTTAGGCCGGCAAAGTTGTTCAGGGCGCCCTTTCCAAAGTAAGTGGTCGGAAGTTCTTTCTGGAGGAGCTGTTGTTTGCCTCATCAGACCAGCAGAGCAGTCGGGAGCAGCAAGCAATCTTTTTTGGGAGACAGCGCAGGAAAGTAATGTCGTGCTATTATGCCACGAAAGATCCCGCATGAGTTCGCCGCCCTTTTGAACATGTGCAGTGAAGCCAGCATTCTTAACCTGCGTCATTATAAGAAATCATCATTCTCTTACCGCAGCATGCTTGGTCAAGTTTGGTTGGTCAAGCTGCGCCGCGCAAGAGTGCCTGGCTTTGCCTGGCTTTGCCTGGCTTTGCCTGGCCTTGCCTGGCCTTGCCCCCCTTCCGGTTCCATAGTCTCTTTCCCAGCCTCTCTGCCTTGCCACTCTGCCTCCCCCCCTCCCCACTCGCCCTGCGGTTCAACAACCCTCCAGCTGCAATACGCCAGGTAGGCTCGATGAAAGCCCTACACGAGAATGCTCGTGTTGTCTAAAAAGTGGCCTGAACACACATGGTGATGTGCTGAATTGGACTGAATGCTTAATACTTACATCACCCCTCTTCATTCTACCCATCCCACTCCCCTCAGTTCTTCCCTCGTTTTGCTTCGTCTCGCAGCCTTTTGCGCTCCCCTCTGCCTAAGGACCCCAAGGACCGACCAAAGCAGGGTCAAAGTTTCACATGAGGTGCGTCTAGCACGTTGTATTTCTGCAATTCTTTGCGATTCCTCTCGCGGCCCACAAAGTTTACTTGATCATACTTGCCAGTAACAGGAAGTAGTCTCATCCGTGGCACATCCGTGCTTGCTGTTGACATCCCAGGCACCTACCTGCAAAGGAAGACTTCCACTTCTGCGTGGTGTCTGCCCGCCGGGCAACGAAGCTTGAAGGTGTCAGAGACATCTTCACGGTGCAGACGCAGCTGGTGGAGGCTGGAGTCAAGCCCACATGGTACGTGGACGAAGAGAGCTTGGCTCAGTACAAGGCTCTTGGCCTCCACGCAGTGGTGGGCGGGAAGCTCACCCAAGCGAGAAACAAGGCCTTGGAAGATGCCAAAAGCAGTGGCAAGATTTGCGTTCAGCTCTCAGACGACATCTCGGCTTGGGAGTACCGCCATGGGGAGCGAGCTAGCGAGAAGAATGACAAAGCAGCGAATGCGGCGCACGCAGCGGCTCGCCGATTCATAGTGACGCCCGTGGCTGCGGCTCGCTTCATTGCTGCCAAGATGAGGGCTTCCGCAGAGAAGCCAAAACTTGGAGGTGGGCAGCGAATGAAATGCATATGCTTGTGTTGTGCCATGGGTGGCTGTGGCAGTGTGCAGGGTTCATTGGCAGGCCCTTTTGTCTTTTTCCCCTGAAGGCGTCTACATGCTTGGAAGCTGTGCTCGCGCTTTTTCAGGCTTGCTTTGGTTGACAAGGACCAAGGTTGGATCCTTTTGTGCTTTGGCAGGCGAGGAGTTTGGCCGCCAGCACTTCATTTTGGGTGCCTTGGATGCTGCATCATTGTGCTTTTCGTTTTGAGGGACCCTGTTTGAGGCGACTTCTTAGTTGTGGACAAGGACTCCCCGGTGATGTTTGACGCGAACATGACATTGAAGGCAGGCATTTGAAAACTGAAGCTTCTGTGGTGCTCAAATCTTACACCAGAGAAACACATTTGCTTCCCGTTGTGTGTTCCGCCATTTGTCGTTCTGTGTGCCACAGGCTCTGCTATTTAGGGCTTGTGCGTGTGCAGGGTTTGTATGACATGATCTGTGGTTGCTCGCCATTGCCAAAACCATATTTGCTTTGCATACTCATGCCAGATGCAGCTGTCGTGCTTCTGTTTGTGTCCATCTATTTGTTTGTTTGTTTTTGCGTGACTGTGCTTGTGGAATATAGATATTTGTCGCACAAACACACGCACGCCAGCCAGTGCATTTGTTTCGTGCATTCGCCATGTGTGTGCGTGTGTTGCAGTTGCACTTGTCATTTGTGCAATGCCCTCTGGGGCAGGAAGACTATGATTTCACTTGCGCTCACATCAAGGCGGCAGCCAGTAATTTGTGAGGACTGCGCTTTCGTGTTCTTGGAGGCCCACGGCTCCGTTTTGCGCTGCAATCGCATGACTCTGTCAGTTAAGCACTACAGCAACAGTAGGGGCCCCATTCTGTCAGCCAGTTTTCGGTCGTAGGACAGAAACCCAAGCCAGGGCAGTTGCTCAGGTGGCGGAGCCGTCAGCACAAGAGACAAAAAAGGAGAGGAGGCTGGCAAGAGCGGATGACAGATTGCAGCCTTTGGCCCCACCATCGTAAAAGACAGTCATGCAGGAGAAGCGCAACATCGCCATCTTGTTCAGGAAGTGGCCAGGCTCGGTCCTTCTGAGAGCGAAGTGCCCAAGGGGAACTGCGTTTGGAACCAGGTGCCTTCCGGATGAACCCGAAGCGCAAGAATGAGGTCATCATGAGGTGCGTGGCACCATAGTGCAGAATGCAAGCAAGCGTTGCGGTCACGGATTTGACCAGAAATCTTGCAGCTCTTTCAGAAGCCTGCGCGCAGGCAGCAAGCAAAATAGAACAATCATTCAAATGTAAGGGCTGCCACCTGATGCCGCTCCCTGCTTCAGTGCGAAGCATTGTTGGATTCCGCAAAAACATAGACAACAAATCACGTTCTGGCTCCAGGTTGCTCCAAGTTTCAGCCCAATCAAGTTTTTAGGTTGCTCAAGTTTCCAAGTCTCTGCCTTTTATTGTAGAATTGAATGGCAGTCTGTGCCTACAGAGCAGCATGCCATCTACGTTTAGTCAGCTGAAAGCTATCCGCAAAATCCCCACGTTTGCATGCATTATACGGATTTAGCCGGAGCCTGGTCCCCGATAGGTGTGAGGGCTATCCGTGCATGTTCTACGTGTTCCACACTTTGGGATAGCTTTGGCATAATATGATGAGGCATTTCTTTTGACCTTCGCCTAGGTGGAAAAGCTGCAGCGATGATGATGATGTCGAGAGCGAGCGGATTACAAGCACGGAGACAGGACTTGCTTTGGGCCACATTTGAGACGGATGAAATTCAGGTTGTATGCTTCCCAGTGGCATGCTGTCCTGCAGGCCGGGCCATTGAGAAGCAGAACCAGGATCGAACCCGGAAAGTGCCATTGGTTGCATTTGCAAAGTCTGAACGCAGGTAACAGCATTCTTATGATGTGTGTTTGTTTGGATGCTTTGGGGTTCAATTTTTACAGATGTTTCACGCCAAGGTTCGGAAGACCATCAAGAAGGTGGCAGCCTTGCTTCGTTTTGCCCTTTGAGCATCAAGCGTGTAAAGCATGCATTGGTTTGCGCCAACGACTTCAATTTGAGTGTCGCCTGGTTCTGACGCACTGCAGGCAACCAGAGGTGGTGCATGACGCACTTCTGATGGAGG